TGGCGTTTCCTTCTCCCCTTCCGCCAGGGTCAGAGCTCCGGCTGCTGCGGGACACGAATTCTCCCAGCTGTGTCAGGGAGCTCTTGGCCCTCCTCCCGCTCCCACAGGACTTGTGCACAGCTCCACGTCTCTCCCCCCTACCCTGGGGTGCCAAAGGGCTCTCCTCTGGGTGTTGCGGCTATGGGGGGAGCAGATTTCCAGGTCAGTTCCCACCAGCTGAATGGGAATAGCAGCTGAATTCCTGTCCTGCCTGTGGGCCATTGTCACCGCCTGGTCCCCAGTGGGCTGCTGTGCATCGCCCACCCTCCTGTGTCTGCCAGCGCTCCCAGAACCTGCCTGATCCGGAGGGAAATGTCAGGCAGGGCACTCGGGAGTCAGGATGGGGAGGGAGGTCCAAGGTTCATCCAGTGCATGAGTGTAATTAAATGCTGTGGGGACAAAGCTGGTTCCAGGGAACTGGCACTGGTCACCCTTTGACCTACACCAGCCCCACCTGAGGACAGCTTTGGGCAGGATGATGGAGGAGCCCTCCCTGCTGCTGTGACAGTACGTGGGAGGACCCAGGTAGGACTCGGTGTCCTGCGCTTGCACCATGAGTCCTCTGACAGGGTTACTGAGCACGAGGGGCTGAGCTGGATCCTGGCATGGTTCCGCTCCCTCCCCAAGGGGACATGGAGTGCCGTGGACGCAGACCCTGCGCGTGGAAAACTACTGCACACAAAGCAGCCTCTGCTCACCCCCAGCCCAGATCAGCACACACGGGGTTCAATCCAGGCCCTGGCCCCGAGGCAGGGAACCCCGTGGCCTCAGCAGCAGCTGCCCCATGGGTAAACCAATGGGTCAGCCCCAGGAAACATCCTCTCCTTTGTGTTCGGGAGCTCCCAAGGCCACCGCAGTTTTCTTTATCACCGGGACCACTGTAACCACCCTGTCCCATCCATCACCTCTGCCTTCCCCTGAACTACAGCATCCTCAGCACAAGGTGACCCCAACCTTCTTGGGGTCACAGCCCGGCTGTGCCGAGGGACATCCTCCCCCTTCCCCAGCCAGCAGGCAGCCCACGCTGTGGAGGGGATCCCTGGAGCCCAGGAGCAGCTTGGTGCTAAATGAGGCTCCGGCACCACTCTGCCGTTGGCCGATACGAGTCATGCCAGGGCAGTTTTGGTGCTGATAACAAGAGAGCCACCAGCCTCTGCACGTCCTCAGCGGCAGTGGCTTCTGGGTCCTGCCTGGCTGGGCTGGCTGCAGAGCACAGGCTGGCAGAAGAGCAGTTTGCCAGCCCCGAGCTGTGCCTGCGCTGGGCTCCGCAAGAGGCTCTGGGAGGCAGGCTGTGGTTGTGGCTTCAGCACTGCTCAACGGCCTCGGAAAGCAGAGCAGCTCAGCTCCAGACAGTGCCAGTGCTGGCCCAGCCTCACCCAGCTTGCCCGGAGCCTGCTGATATTCTAAACCTCCTTCTGGGCTCCTCGGAGGGCGGGAGCCACTGCTGCTCTTCCTGGCCCCGTGCCCCGTGCCCCGTCCTTCCTTCGCTCTCCCAGCCGTCGGTGCTGTCATTTCCTTCTGGTGAGCCTGCTTGCGTCTTCTCCCCCCGCCCCGCCGAGGGCTCTGCCTGCCTCCCCCATGCTGGGAGATGAGGACAGGCTTGATCCTATAGATGGATTCTCAAAGACCTCCTCTTAGGTGTTGGGTTTTTTTTCTTTTTCTCGTATGGGTTTTTAAACCTAAACTTCTCAAGGCGTTGTGTCCTTGAACCTGCCCTGTGCTGTCTGTGAGTCACATCCCCTGCCATTGTTCACGTTGTCCTTGAGCCCTCCTGATGCTGGGAGCTTCCTCTTCTGCCTCTGCCCAAGACTTGAAGGCTTTTGGCATGTCTCGTCCCAGCACGCTGTGGGGCTTTGAAGTCAGCAGTGCCTCTGCCCTCCTGCTGCCCCAGCAGCCTTCCTCTGCCTTCTCCATCTCCAAGGAAAAATGGGCTCTGCACCGTGTTTCCGAGCTGGGCTATCAAGTGGGACCATCTTCCCAGAGGGATATCCTGCATCCTTGGAAGGACCAGCCCTCTCCAGCCACAAGCTGAGGACATCCTACACTTTGCTGCCTGCAGAGCAGCTGCTCAGGGTGATGGAGCATGCCAAGAGGATGGCCCCAGGGCTCAAGGGCGATGCCCCTGGAAGCTGCAGTGCTACCCTACGGATACGGAACAGGGCTGGCTGAGCCTCCAGGGCAGCTCTGGGGATGAGCTGAGCTGCCCGCACTTCCAAGCAACTTGTTCTTTTTCATATAGAAAAAGCTGAAAGTGGGTAAATTGGCCAAGTCCTGCTACATGTCCATGGGAGAGTAACCAGCTAGCAGGGCTCTGCACTAACTGCTCAGGTCCTTGCCCTGCAGAGACCCTTTGCCTAGAGACTCCCTTTCTGCACTTCTCTGCTCTGTGCTCTGCTACCTGCCAGTCTGCTTCTCTTGCACCTTCAGCTCACTGAGAGCAGGGCCCCCTTTGCATCGGGCACAAGAAGAGCAAAGTGCGCCTGCCTTGAAGAGTTCCTGAACAGGCAAGACAGATGTGGGG